AAAAGGAATATTTTTAAGACATTTAGCCGATAACAGTTTAGACTCATGCTCTTTGCTTTGTTTTTTTTTTTAATTAAATGTTTTTATTTTGCATTGAGTGAAAGTTTACAGGGCACATCATCAGCTTCACATTCAACCATTCATATAGCTTGTTTCATTACATTGATTATTATCCCCTCCATATTATCATCAGTTATTCTTAGTATATCTTAGGGAATCGTTTTCAGTGAAGCTTACATGATTTGTGTTTCTCTTACGTTGAACTTTTGTTTTAGGAAGTTTATCGAAATTCCATGCCTGCTTCCAGTTTTCAACAGCAGAAGCTTCGAGTCTGTGAAGTCTGCTCTGCCTATTTAGGCCTTCATGACAATGACAGACGACTGGCTGATCACTTCGGGGGTAAACTACACCTGGGATTTATTGAAATAAGAGAGAAGCTTGAAGAGTTAAAGGTACATTGATAAATTTATATCCCTTGCTTTTTTCAGTTAGCCGCACTCATTCTTTTGATCTGTATGAGCTGTCTTTTCTGGACATCTTTAAGATTTAGTTGTATTTAGTGTCTACTAAAAATTCTTGCTACATAGCACAGGAATTGTTAATGGATGTATCAGCGAATTGATGATGTCTGAGAAGCAGCTGTTTAAATACTATCTCATTAGTCTGGGTGGTAGGATTTTATATTAGCTGGGACCCTGAATTAGCAGCCTTAACTGGGATCTGAATTAGTTCCATCATACCAAGCCCCATAAATTTCCCATGGCAATCTTTGCAGAGTCCTGGTGCTATAGGGTACTCACTGGACTACTAACCACAAAGTCTGATTCAAACCCACCAGCTACTCCTTGGAAACCCTCTACAGGGTTGCCATGAGTCAGAGGTGACTCGAAGGCACTTAGCAACAGCTTTCTTTTTAATACACTTAGAATTCTTTGTTCCTGTTTTCTTTTATGGGAGTATTAAGAAAATGATTCAAAGTTGTATTGGAAATGCTTTGCATTTTTCTGCTAAAGCACATATTTCCAGAGCATCTGGCTGCAGAAGGGACGTAGGATGGAACTATAGGAAAGGAGGGCCACTGTCACTCAGCACACTGGCCATGTGAGAAAGGCAGTGTGGCTGCTTGGAGGTGGGGGAAAGCCAGACAGATGTGCTGAGCCAGTGGGTGTGACTCCATTTACCTCTCAACAGTCTGAGGCAGCTCTGCTTAGAAAGCATGGTGCTTTGGAGTTCTGTCGTGATTGAGGATTGGCTGAGAGATAAGAAACATGGAGTATAAATGGTCATTTCTATGCACATGCCACACCAAAATGACCATAATCTGGGATTTAAAGTAATGTAGAATCAGACAGGTCTTGGTATTGGAATATGCAGTCCCTGAGTGAAATGAGTATCATTTTAGCAAATGGTGGTTGGGCTCTAAGTTAATAATCCAAAAAAGCCCCTGCTTTTTATAAAGACCTGGCCACAGAACTCAACATGGTACTAGCATTTTAATACTTTCAGGACAGTGATTAGAATTGACAAAAGACATTCCCATGCTGAAAACCAGGTCTTTGTTCTTTTTAAAAATAAAAAGACAAAAATAATGCTTAAGATATTTGGAGAAGAGCAATTTAATAGAAAATGATTTGAAATATCATAGAGACCATAGAGAAAAAATGTGAAAATTCGTAAACTTGTATAGAAAGGACAATTTTGGAAATCAAAGACTGCTTATATGAGGGGGACTTTAAAAATTTTGTGGAAAAATGGAATTTTTTCACATTGTGAAGCCTCATTGTACTTAAACACACTTCAAATTAAATGCTTATTAAATAGATTTTGTTGTTAAGTGCCATCGAGTCTATTCTGACTCATAGCGACCCTGTATAGAGTTTCCAAGAAGCAGCTGGTGAATTTGAACCACCGACCTTGCTTATTCTACAGCTCTATACGTTAATGGTACATCAGTGTGTCTGAATGCATATATACTACTAAGTTGGGGTATAGCACTCATTAAGAATGGAGCTAATGAATATACTCTCATTGACTGTTTGAACTGTCTTTGTTTTTAAAGAGAGTTGTAGCTGAGAAGCAGGAGAAAAGAAACCAGGAACGTCTGAAACGCAGAGAAGAAAGGGAGAGAGAAGAAAGAGAGAAGCTGCGGAGGTGAGAACTCATTAGGGTTTGTCTCCAGTCTAGAAAGGGTTAAGAGAAGTGCTTGACACAGGATTGTAAATGTTACTCAATTAGGAGCCAGGTGGCTCAGTGGAAGTACTCTAATCCTAAAAGGCTGCTAATCCTAAAAGGCTGCTAATCCTAAAAGGTCGGTCGGAATGGGAATGACTTGGTGATCTGCACCCATAAAGATGACAGCCATGGAAACCCTATAGGGCCCTTCATTGTGTCGGAATTGACGCAGTGGCACACAATGGCAAGAACAGATCTGCTCTGAGAAGGGAGGAATTGCTGTGGACTTGTTTCAATGGTTGCTATGTAGAATAGTGTTTATAGTCTATTAACTTGTGGTTATTTCATACATGTAGGAGTCCTGGTGTAGTGTTACAGGATAAACACTGGACAGCTAACCACAGGGCTAGCAGGTCAAACCCACCAATTGCTCCTTGGAACTTAAACCTTATGTAGGGTTTCTGAGAGTTGTAACTGACTTAATGCCACTTAGTAACAGCAGCAATGCATACGGTTTTCGTCAGAATATATGGAGGAGCAATCAAGTGTTTCCTGTCTGTATGTCTTGTAGGATGTAAGACAAAGCCCTTCTCTACTACTTTGATTTTTATTGCACCAGGTTGGCATAGCACTATGTTTATTTTTTATTTATTTATTTTTAATGTTTTATTGTGAATTATATGATAGTTTACATGAGAGAACTTTAGTTTTTACCTTCATTCCATCGTATATCATTTCATTGCCATGGTTCCAATCCCCTTCATGCATCATCAACAGACCAAAGGGTATATCCTAGAAACCCCCCCCCCCCCCTCCCCCCCCCCAGTCCTCGGCCCACAGGTCCTCAGCCGCATCATCACTCCACGTCACCGTCTCTGTCTCCATCTCAGGCATCTCTGGTTCCCTGGGAAGGGTCCCCCTCTTGCCTCTTCTCTGTTGGTGGTCCTAGAGATCGCCGCTCCTAGACTGGAGAAATAATCACTCCCTTCCGTGCTACAAAATGTATACCTTTGCACTTCCAACCCTCATAATCAGTCCTGATAACCATTATTCACTACAGTATCATGAATTACCCATCTTGTGTTTCATTTCATCAGCTCCGCCTAGACAGATTGGATAGTACTCACTGGAGATTCTGCCTTCCTCCATGCCCCCTAGCTCTAGGTTCCCTCTTGAAAGCTTGTAAGCCAGTCACTTCTTGTCTTTGTAGTCCCCCCCTCCCCATTTGGGTATCCAATGTCCAAGTTGCCCATCTCTGTCCACTCTGTGTGTGGAGGGGGTGGGAATGTTTCTTGCTGTAAGGATTTGTTGTTCCTTCTTTTGAGTCGCTGCATCTGTAGGTGTAGGTCAAGTTCATCAGATTGTATCAGCTCTCTCTTTTATTTTTCCCTCTTTTTTCTTCTCCTGGTTGAGCTCTGATCATCTAAGTCATCCCGTCCAGGTCACGTGGGTACTATCTGCAAGTGTGGGCGTTCTTGTGCACATGTCCTCTCTTCTCATTAGCCGGTAGCTCCACTCTCTACTCGAGTCCTCCGTGGCCACGCCACTGACTCTGGGCCCAAGAGTCCCCAGGTCTCTTCACAACTATGTTTATAATTTATTTTATACTTGTTGGTAAAAGGTATTTTGATCTTTGGGTTTGTTGATCCATTTTACTTTGATTCTGTATTTCCTCAAGTCCAGGAGCCATCACCATGAGAAAAGCTTTCATGTTCATTCATTGATAAAATCATAGATTTTCCTAGCTAGCGTCCACAGGCGCTTCTTGAGTCACTTTGGCTCATTGGCAGTTACGATTGCCCAGCGCTGTAGTAACCACACTCTTTTCACTTCTGCTGACAGCGTCTTCCACACTTGGAGGATACACAGGCATGCCTAAGGTTTCACCTGTGCTGCTTCTTCCAGTGGCCCTTGGTGGCATTACGCAGCTCGAAAAGTAAATAGGGGCCTCTCCTCAGAATTAGTAGATGGCATACCTAATGTGCACAGTAGGTAACGAGGGCACGCCGGTGTTGTCCAAGCTGAAATTCACATGTAACCCTATTCCAGAAAGGTTAAAAAGGCACCTATTTTAGAATTCTGTGTATCTATCTGTGACCTGGAGTCTTGGTGTGGCACTGTAGGATAAGTGTTGGACTACAAGGTTGGCGGTTCAGAACTCACCAGCCACTCCTCAGAAACCCTGTGTGAGATAAGGTCGCTGTGATTCAGAGGCGACTCGATGGCACTTAGTAGCAGCAGCCATTGATCTGAAGGTAATGTGATAGATAGCTAAGTGTTGTGGGGGGTTAGAAACTTCAGGGCAGTTGACAATTACAGAAGATGGGGTCCCAGTTATAGCACAGAAAAGGGTCACAGTGGAAATTGACTATTCCTCAGTGGGTGCCCTGTTGTGTGCTGGGTGCTGTGCGTAAGAAATTTACAATCTTTTCAAAGGGATGAACTCAGTTGGATGGGCGTTTAACCTCCCAACTCTCACAGATGGTTGATAGTAGAACCAGAGATTGAGTCCAGGACCATATGCTCTCACGTCCAGATTAGGAACCAGTTGCCTTTTAATGCCCATTGGTTGAGGACCTGCTTGCTTGAGAGGAGCATGGTGCTGCTGGGTTAGGAGCAAATGTAAGGTTGAGGTGGTGTTACAGAGATTCCAAAGACTATGCGACTTGGACCTTTGCCAGAGGGAAAGAAGAAATGATGGAGAGAAAACAAAAAACTTTTTCTCCAGATTCAAATGTGGTATCTAGAGGCTGCGTTGTCACAGGCTGAGTTGTCATAGGGTGCGTTTATTCAGCCTCCCAGGAACCTGTTCTTTCCCATGGAGCAGACAGCTTTCCTTTTGAAGCTCCCTGATCCACAGAGAGAATCCATTGGGGGACAAGTCTGTAGGGCTCATGGTGTGATTTGGAAAATTTTTGGGTGCCGTACTATACTATATACTTTGTGTGTGTGTGTGTGTGTGTATATATATATATATACATAAATAAAAATTGTTGAAGAAAGTGCAAGCCAGAGTGCTCCTTGGAGGCCAGGATGGCCAAACTTCATCTCTCATACTTTGAACATACTGTCAGGAGGGAGCAGTTGCTGGAGAAGGATGTCTTGTTTGGTAAGGTGGAGGGTCAGAGACAAAGAAGAAGACTCCCAATGAGATGGATTGGCCAAGTAACAGCATCAGTGGACTCAAGTGTGGCAACAGTAGTGAGGTTGACCCAGGATCAGGCAGTGTTTCGTTCTCCTGTGCATAAAGTCGTTATGAGTCGGTACCGACTCAATAGCACCTAACAACAACAAGAAAGCTAAACTATGTATTGGTATTTATAAAATTAACATTAAAAATCATTTTAATGATACCTTGTACTGTTTTCTCACTTTTTTGTTTTGTTTTGTTTTATATTTTTATGGTCACTTTTCTAAGGTAGATATTGCTCTTTTTCAGGTCCCGATCACACAGCAAGAATCCCAAAAGGTGGGTATTATCCAATACACGAGACAGGGCTAAGTAGTGAAGCTGTGATTTTCAAATGTCGTTTTCATAGATGAAATCTTTTTTAGTTAGAATTCGTAGGCTGTTAGTACAGTTTCTTTTATAGTTCTGATTTGAGAAGTGTCATTTGAGGAGAAAGTGGTGAGAAGATAATTTGGAGCTACTTTTTTTTTTTTTTTAAGTTTTCATTATGAATTGAGTGCTGGTTTGTTTACATGGGAGAATATCGGTTTTACACTCATCGTTTCTTTGCAATGATTACGGTCTTCCTTCGTGCATCATCATTCAACAGTATTTGCTTCTGTTCTCTCTGGTATTTTTTGTGAATGTACACAAAAACACTCTGGAATATATAACCATTTAAACAACCAAAGGCCACATTCTGCAACCCTGCCTCATGGCTGCCAGCACCCAGCCTCCTTTCTCTTTCCATGAGTCTAGAATCCTCAGCTGTTCTGTCTCTCCATGTCGTCATCTCTACCTTCACCTCTGGTGTCTTCTCTGGATGTTGTTGTTAAGTGCCATGGAGTCGATTCCGATCCATAGTGACCCTACATAGGGTTTCGGAGGCTGTAAATCTTCACAGGAACAGAAAGCCTCATTGTTTTCGCACAGAACTGCTGGTTGTTTCGAACTGCTGACTTTAAGGTTTGCAGCCTGATTCGAAACCACTACACTATCAGAGCATCCACATTCCGCTCCTGCTCTTCTACTTTGATGGTCCTAGGCTTCTCTGTTCCTGGACTGTAAGATTACTTACTCCCCCCTTTTTGTTACAAAACTTCTATCTTTACAGTTGTGGCAATCATAATTAGTCAAGATAACATGCAATTTAACTTTTATCAGTAAAATTCTATATTGCTGTTGAGTTCAGTCAAGTAGGTTCCAACTCATAGCAGCTCTATATAGGCTTTCCTAGGAGCAGCTGGTGGACTTAAACTATTAACCTTGTGGTTCCATGTCTGATACTGATCCTACAGTGCCACACCAGAAGTCCCAAAATTCTATGTATAGTGTCTGGTGTTTATGGGAAAACTAAAGGGGAGATGGTGTTTTCCAAAATGTAGTAAGAATAAATGCCAGGGCTAGAACCCTGATGTTTTACATTAATCTTGCAATTTTTTTATGTTTTTGTAAAATTTTTATATGTATGAAATTTTTTTGGTGATAAAGTACATAGCATAAAAACTTCATTTTAACCATTTTTCACTATCCAGTTCAGTGGCATTAAATAACATCTATTGAGAATCAATGCATTTGAGTTACGGTGTTGGGTAATATTAAGGAACCATGGGCTGCTAGCAGCAGAACAAAGATCTGTGTTGGAAGAAGTACAACCAGAATGCTTCTTAGAAGCCATGATGATCAGACTTTGTCTCTGGTACTTTGGACTTGTTATCAGGAAGGACCAGTCTCTGGAGAAGGACATCATGCTTAGTAAAGTGGAAGGTCGTTGAAAAGAGGGAGAGTGCTAACGAGGCGGATTGGTGCAGTGGCAGCAGCAATTGTGAGCATGACGTCAGTGTTTGGTTCAGTTGTACAGCACAGAGGGTTGCTATAGATGGGAACTGACTCGACGGCACTGAACAGCAACATCAGTGTTGGCTTCTGTAACTTCCCACTACTCTGTGGAGTTGCAGGATTTTCTCATTCCCCTTAGATAGGATTCCACTTCTTATCACTCTTGAGTTTGCTACTTCTAATCACTTCACAAGTAGAATCGTCACTCGTCTGTCCTTGTGTCGTCTTCACTCAGCAGCCTGTTTCCAGGTTTATCCATGTGGAAGCATGTTCAGAACTTGATTTCCTTTACCTTACAGTTGTTCCCTCTGTACACTACTGCACCTCTAGGCACTAGGCTGCATCCTGAGAGAGTATTGCTGTCTATATGCTTGTCTATTGCTGTCTGTATGAACTCTGAGCACATCTAACCTGTCATTGAGATAGCTGTTAATCACACTGCCATTTCCCAAGCTTTTGCAGAAGGGTGGAGGATCTCTAGACAAGCTAGAAGCACATAGTAGAGATGTAAATGCTCTTCATGCTATAGTTGCTGTCATCAAGAAAGCACATAAAGGGCAAAGACAACCGGAAAATGTCACTTCAAACATCAGAAGAGTAGCCCTTAAGAACCGCAAAGGAGCGAGCACGTGAGGAACATGAGCTGACGGCAGTCTCTTCTAGGCATTGTGGGAATTCTCAAATCCTTACTGGGAGGGAAAAAACTAAGCAACTTCCTCTGTGTTCAAATATCCCTTAGTGCTCTGACAGTTCAGCTTCCAGTGCTACCAAAGTAAACGATACTAATAAGTGATAGCATTTATGTTGTCCAAGACAAGAAGTAGACCATTCAGTGTGGTGGGTACTTGGCTACTTTTCTTGTTTGATTAACTGATTGGTTACTACAGGTGGCTCCCTTTATTTGGACCATTTTTACCTAGCGTAGCTTTAGATACTTAGAACCATTTGCCTTTTCTCTAACTATTCTCACAGCCTCTTCACTGGTCTCTCTGTTTCCATACTTGTGTAGTCCCCTCTGCAACTCAGGTGGTAGTAATATTTCATTTCTTTCTTAATTTCCTACATGTAGTTACTGAATATGCCAGCAGCATATTGAGTGTAGAAATAGCAGACTTGGAATAGAGCTGACATAAAGTAAGACTGACATGACTCCAAACCTTGTCATTTGGTAGATCCAGGTCCCGGGAGCATCGCCGCCATCGGTCTCGCTCCATGTCGCGGGAGCGGAAGAGGAGAACTCGATCTAAGTCTCGGGAGAAGCGCCATCGCCACCGGTCCCGCTCAAGCAGCCGCAGTCGCAGCCGCAGCCACCAGAGAAGCCGGCACAGCTCCAGGGAGAGGAGCCGAGAGCGCGCCAAGAGGAGGTACTGACGCCTCGCCCAGAGGCCGGCGCGCATTGGGTAATATGTACACATTTGTGGTGGGTGTGTGACTGTTTTCCCCCTGATGATGTGTGGGTAGTTCAGAAGATACTTGGAACCAGAGTAAGAAATTGGGATCGATTTGTGTGTAGTGTCTTGGAAGCAAAAGTGCTCTCTGGGTAGAGAAAGTTGTTTTGCTTTGTTTGATGTACTGTTTTCCAAACTTATGTAAACCGTGGCACTTTTTCCAATCAGACATGCACCCTCTAGTAGATCCTTAGTTCACCTGCACTACTGCTACATATTATGTAACTTTAGCTTGGCAGGGCAGATTCAGATTCTTCAGGAAGCTAACAGACTTTCTTGGCATGAGGACAGAACCTCAGAAGTGCACGGGGTGGGGGTGGGAGGGACACGCTGAGGCCCAGGGTGAGGTGTGTAAGGACCGACCTGAATGTTCCCCACGAATCTGAATGTGAGGGATGGTTAACATTTACTGCACATAGAGACACACAACGCTCATGGCACGTGGTAGCGCTTCTTGTTAAGTGCCATTGAGTTGGTTCTGACCCATAGTGACCCTGTATAGGGTTTCCTAGGAGTGACTGGTAAACTTGGACCACTGACCTTGCAGTTCAAATGGCTTTGCATTCTGGCGCATTAACCCGCAGCGCCACCCCAGAACTCCTTAAACCAGGTCATTTTTGTGGGGTGTGTGTAAACCGTGCTAAAAGTGGTTCTTTTCCTTGACTGCTCTTCTTCTTAACTGTTTTATGATAAACTACTGTCTACTAGTCTTAAGTTTTCTATGTATTACTTCATGTAAAGCCTATGATAGAATCCACAGGAAGCTGTTTAAACTTTTCCATGTCTTCATTTTTTTACCCCCATCTAGCCAGTCCCAGAAATCATTCATGAGCTGAGTTAACTCAGTATATTATTTCTTGTAGTCTTGCTCTAAATAGCCCGTAGGATCATCAGTAGGAATTGTATGCTACTTCACTTGATCTGGCTGAAAAATAGCAAGCGTAACAGTTCAGTTTGTTCAAGTTGCTGGAAGGCATTGCCATTTGAGTTACAACAAAGGATTCACATCATGAAAAGTGACAAATTGTTGAAAGTATTAGAGAGTAAGTGATACAGGGATGTAGTAGATGAGAGAAACACCAAAATGTAAAGGTTGGTTTCAGGTAGTAGGTAAAACTTGAATAAAGTTCATTTGAATAGGTAAAAAGAAGTAGGAAAAAGAGAACCCTAGATGAATATCTTAAGCAACAATGTAGAAGAATGAGCTGAGAATTTATAGGGGACACAGTTCTTCAAAGTGTGATTTGTAACCACATGTCTCTTAAAAACTGCAGGTTTGGGGGACCACCCTCAATGCATTGAAAAATGCTTTGTTAATAAATATTCTGAGTCTTGGCATGCACATGAATGTGGAGACTCACCGTGCCAGGAGACAGGCATCTAGACAGTCGTTCCTGTGGGCCAGCCCAGCTTGCCATTGTTCCTGGTGTCTGTGAACTCTCAAGTATCTCAGTCACTGGTGGGATGGGAAGGTGGGAGTGAAGTCCCCTTGTCTTCTGTGATTGTCACCTTAAAACTGAATTTATGAAGTTCACCAAACCACAGAACATTCCTCACTTCTGATGTTTTCAGCATGCTCATAAAGAGGATTATTTTTGTAAAACTATTAAACATTTTGTTTTTCTCAAGAGCACTTCTGATTTTTTGATACTCACACTATTGTTTTCACCAAAAAATTAGGAGATAGTTGATTCTATCACTTAGGTACAAACTACGTTTGTTAAATCAAATGCAATTGTCTCGACATACTTGGGTTTAAGCGTTTGAGATAGAAATCTCAGTATAGCCCTGATGCTAACAGACTGACTGGTTGGTCTGAAGTCACTGGTTTTCTCTGTGACCTTCCCCTGCCGCAAAGACTGGAATGTTCTGCCTCCCGTTCAGCTCAGATGTGCATACTGCTGGTTTCAGAAGTGGACTCGCTGGGTTCATTGGCCTTGGCCAAACAATGTCATTACTGTCCTTCCCTTTCCCTGTCTGCTAAGTAGAGCTAGGAAGAATCCTAATCCCCCATTAGGGTCCAGGGGCATTGGAGTGAAGTCACTTGTGGAAACTGCTCAGCCGACTGCGCGGACATTGTAACATCTCACTCCCTGTTAGTGGTGCTCTCCTCGGGGTTTTCCCTGACTGTTACTGATTTTCTGGGGCTTCCCAGAGTCCTGGTGTGGCCCTGTGGCCTAATGCGTCAGACTGCAGAGTCATTTGAACTGCAAGGTTAGTGGCTCAGCCTCACCATCTGCTCCTTGGAAACCCTGTACAGGGTTGCTATAGGTCAGAATCAACTCGACGGCACTTAATAACAACAATGTCTGCTTAGGTGTCATCTCTCCCACCATCGTTTTCCCGGAAAGGCTATCATTGTACTTGTTAAGTGCCGTCAAGTCAGTTCCCACTCATAAGAGACCCTGTATATATAGGTTTCCAAGAAGTGGCTGGTGTATTTGAACTGCTGACTTAGTGGTTAGCAGTCTGCGCTTATCCTATAGCAAGTGCAACCAGCTGTGCCCTGGTTGATGTTTTTTGTGTGTTTTTCTTGAAACATCATTTTAAAACTTATAATAAATTTAAATGAAATGTTCAGTGTGTGTGCCACTATGTAGTCTTTCAACTTTTTTGGTTTGAACTGCCCTGAACTTTATTTCTAAAGCTGATTATGGTGTCATTTCCCCCTAAGAAGCCGAAAGTCGGACTGGTTCTGATTCTCAGCACTGTGTCCAATCCCAAACCAGCTTCTACTGGCGACCTAATGGTGTTCCAAGTACTTTGAACCTGTGAAGACCCGCTAGCTATCATCATGTTACTAATTCATTCTAGATGTTGAACTATAGGAGATTGCAGGCTTATTCCACACCCAGAGTAGCCTTTGACTGGCTTTCTGATGGCGGCTTCTTGTTCTGTCTCTCAGTCCTGGGAATGGAGCCATGGTTACAGTTGATCCGGAACCATTATAGTCTGATGCCCTCTCTGTCTTCCATTCGGCTTTTCTTCTCTTGACTGAGTAAACTCACTAAGAAAATCAAGCCAATTTTAAAAATAAAATGTGGTTATTCAGAGCTCTTATCATTTACTCAGTCAATGTCTTCTGAGCATGGCCTGCCTCTAGCCAGCTGTGGAGAGTTTTCTGCTTTTATAAAGGGGTAAGAAAAAGAAAACTTAAGAGGAGGCGGCTACAGAGATGCAAATGTGTAGTAAACCACTAACACCTAAAATACTGGCCACATGGGCCTGAACAGAACATGCTGACTGACTGTCCAACCCCACTGCTGGACAGCTCTATGCATCCAACTCTGTAAATATTTGCACATACTTAGGTGAATTTTGATCATAGCTTTCACTTTTTATAAGGTATTGCCTATATATTGTTTCTGTATAATCTGAGGGACCAAACACATGTAATGCTAATCATGCTTTCCTGAATCGGAGATGCCTTTTGGTCATCAGAAAGTGTCCTGTAGGTGACTCGGTTAGTTTATGCCTGGTCACCCCTCCATGCTCCAGTGTCCTTACCACAGCTGGGTTGCACTTTTTTTTATCAGGATGCCTTCTTCTCCTCGGCCTTTCTTGGTTGTGTTCTTCTGTCTTTCCTCGGTTACCAGTAGCTGAATATTTGTCCTAGTCTGTCCTGTTCTTTCATTTGGATATTGGGTTTCCCAACATCTTTTGCTCCTCAAATTAATATTTTTCAGATCCTCAAAAGAAAGATTCAGAGACCAAGACATAGCATCACGTGACAGAGACAGGAGTTCAAGAGACAGATCACCTCGTGACAGAGATCGGAAAGATAAGAAGCGGTCCTATGAGAGCGCTAATGGCAGATCCGAAGACAGGAGGAGCTCTGAAGAGCGTGAAGCAGGGGAGATATAGAGCAGGGTGCGCGTCCTCTGAGTTCATACTGTTGTTTAGTTTACAGCTGTTCAGGGCACACAGCGAGCAGCCCAGACACCCATTCAGCTAGGTGAGACGGGAGGGGTCTGACTCATGGGGATGAAGCTGAAAACGACATCCGAGTTTCTGGTCCCCTTGTAATACGATTCAGAAAGGATACTTTGTTCACAGTTTGATATAATACGATGCCGCTCTCTGATTTAATCTTTGTAGTAGGAGTGATAGTGAATGAATTGTCTTACCTGCCTTGGGGTTTTTGTTCCCTTTTTTTTTTTTTTTCCCCTTTTGAACATTTGTAAAATGCCGTCTTCCTTTCTATTCCAAACAGCAGCAGCTTTGGGAATTGTTCCTTTTAATTCTTCCTCTGACTTTTGTTATCCACCCCCCTGCCCTCCCCACCTGTACCCTCAACTGTAAGAGAAAGGGGGTCGGGAAGCAAGCTAACATCTGTTCTGAAGAGTTCTGTTCCCATCATTAATTATTAACTGATTACAGTTCAGAGCATTTATACTGGAATGTAAGCGGGAAAAATGGAAAATGTTTGTTTTTATTCTTTTTTGTTTAAAGGTGCCTATTTAGAGTTGGAAGTTGAACAGCTGTTGCATTACATACTTTTGCTTTTTTATTGAAATTTTGAAATCAAACGTGTCTTGATTTTTCTGTTGTATTGAATTGCTATGTTCAGGATGTTTTGATGGGGGGCGGGGGCAGGGACTCTTTCGTAAGCACTTGTTTTATTTTGTGTGTGGAGTATAAAGGCTACAACCTTATTGTAAAGTAATAATAATAATAATAATAAATTGAAAGAAACAATCACCGCCACCATCATTAAACTGTACCTTGTCTAGTAAATTGTCACTAGAACTATTTGCTGTGGCATTTCCTCTCTTCTGTCACATCATTGATAGTGCCTTACTGTACAAGGCATCCCAGGAAATAAATATGAACTTGCAAAAATTCTAGACACTATTGATTCCCAGGGTCCCTGTGCTGGCCAACAGCCACTGCAGACAGAATAGGCCTGCAGAAAAAAATTGGTCTTTCTGATTGGTTGGTTGGTTGGTTTTTTTGTCATTCAGCAAACTGAAATAAAAGTACACAGTGTAACCAGTAATGAGAGTAATGCTTTCTGCATTGAAGAGCTCTAGGTCCACCCGTGACTTGAACCGTAGTCGGCAGATACTGCTGTGAATCTAGAAAATCTGAAGGACAAATCACATGTAATGCTAATCATGTCTGAGTATAATGATCGCAGATCTCTTTTCTGTAATTATTTCTGCCTTTGATCCCCAGCAGTTGACAGATTTGATGTGACAGCATTGTAGAACCCAACGAGAAAGAGGAACGAATGTCATCTGTACTATGTTCAAGTGAAGAGAAACTTTTCTATCAGCTTTGTTCCTAGAGAGGAATCCTAGGCTGGAAAGAAAAAGGCTCAGCTAGTAGGCGTGAGGAAGAATGCCTGGGACCTGAGCCATCGTGGTGATTGATGGTGAGGTGCCATCAAGTCAGTTTTGACTCCTAGCGACCTGGTCCTGCACCTGCACGGTGCTAACCATCATTGTATGCCTAAGCCTGTTGTTGCCACCATGGTGTCAGCATGCTGTCAGTGTATCTGGTAGAGGGGCTCCACCCTGTTTGTTGACCCTCTTGACCCTCTTTCTACTTTGCCAAGCATGATGTTCTTCTCCAGACACTGGTCCCTTCTAATGAGAAGTCGAGAGCACATGAGAAAATTTCATCATCTTCTTTTCTCAGGAGTATTCTAGAAGTATTCTTCCAAAACAGATAGTAATTTCAGTATTTTTGCCCACACCATAATTCATACACATCAATTCTTCTTAGTGATCCTGTATACAACTGAACAAAACACCACTTGAGCCCATTGTTTACTGCCATTAGGCCTCCCTTACTCACTGTCAGATTTGGGCTCATATGTGGTGATTGAAGATAACCATGACTTGGTTCAGGCATACCTTAGTTCTCAAAGAAAGGGACTGTTTTTTTTAAACGCCAAAAGAGGTCTTTTCCAGCAGATTTGTCTATTGCAAAACATTGATTTCTTGACTGCTGCTTCAGTGGGCATTGATTGTGGCTCAAAGTAAAATGTGAAATCCTTGGTGAATTCTGTTTATCATGACATGTATTGGTCCCATTGTAAGGACTTTTGTAGTCTTTAAAGTGCGATGTAATCCATACTGGAAGTTGACCCTATTACAGTTTGTGAAGACTTCACTACAGTTGACTATTGAAACTTACAGCATTGAGCATTAGTTGTTTAAGCTGAAGCAAAAACAACAAAATATTTTTAGGCAGAATCTGAGCTATTATCAACGTCACAAAAGAAAATGTATGGGTGACCGGTGAATACATAAACAGATGCTAAAACATCATTAGTATAAGTGTAGCAAATACAAAGTGCTGTTGAGTAGTTTCCGACTCAGCAGCCCTTTATAGGGTTTCTAAGGAGCAGCTGGTGAGTTTGAACTGCTGACCTTGTGGTTCAAACTGACCTTATGGTCAAATGCTACAGCACTATACCAGGACTCCCATTAGTCATCCAGAAAAGACAAATTAAAACCAGAATGGTTCAAAGTAAAAAGACAACACCAAGTGTAGAAGATGTGGAAAAACTAAAACTCTTGTATTTTGCTGGGAGGGGGAGTGCAAAGTGGAAAACAGTTCCAGCAGTTTCTTGTAAAGTTAACATTGTTAACCATGCTGTATGCCATTAAATTGATTCTTATTCATAGTGACCCTGTATAATAGTGTAGAATGGCCCCACTGGGTTTCTTATGGGGAGTCTGGGTGTGGCACTGTGGAATAAAGCACTGGACTGTACTGCAAGGTTGATGTGAACCACAAGGTCTGCGGTTCAAACTGGCCAGCTGCTCCTCGGAAAGCCTATTATACAGGGTTGCTACAAGTCGGAATCTACTCAGTGGCATTTCACAGAGTGTAAATAGATGAACTGCGGTATGTCCTAACAAAAGAACAGTAGTCTTGCATGCATATTTCTTTAAAAAGTGTTAAAAGATGGACAAGACTGCTAGTGGCAACGACCCTGGTTGTGAACTTCAAATACGGCTGCTGTGTATCATTCTGATTTCTGCTTTGTGGAGAGGAGAGACTGAAATGTGTGCGAATTCACATCAGTGGAAGAAACAATGTCTGGCTGTAAAATTGTCAAGGCAAAATTTTGTTGCTCGATCCAGATGGCAAATACATAAGAATTTACTATGTGGACCATTTGGGAGGTTTTTTTTGTTTTTTTAAGGGGGGTTGGTGCACCTAATTTCTGGATTTTATCAAAGAGAATCCTGGTGTGGCACTGAAGGATAAGGATAAGCACTGGACTGCAAGGTCATTTTGAACCGCAAGATGGTGATTCAAACTCACCAGTTGCTCCTCGGAAACCCCATGCAGGGTCATTATGAGGAACTGACCAGTGATCTACCTACCTTCACTTCATTGTGTCTCCAGCGGTTTCTTGTTATTTCATTTCTTCACTAGCTTTTAATATCAACAACTATTTTTCAATTCCAGAAATTTTATGTGATTTTTGAAAAATTTTCTCGGTCTTTTTCCATGTCTTTATTAATATTTTATGAGGAGTCCACCCACTAAGGATCACTAACTGTGGATTATGGAAACACTCTGACAGAGCAGTTTGAAACCTAAGCAATTCTAGTTTCTGTAGGATGAAGGCGTCTCAACTCAAATCCTGCAGGCCTGAAGTATTCACGCTATTGGGAAACCAAGGAGGACAGAGGGACTTGCTTGTCATCCCACTGGCAGATGACTTTCTAGTCCAGCCTTTCTTTGAAGACAATTCCCAAATCATAGATTGAAATAGTTGTAATTTTCACCTTGTGTTGATGCAAGGCTGTAGTTACATTCCTGTCCCACTTAGTATGAAAACAGCCCATGATTCACAAGACTGGCACCCCAGCTCATGTGTTGTCTGGTTTTTAGCCCTGTGACACAACCAGACATGAAAGAATGACATGTCTCATAAGGTTGAAAAACAATTTTTATTGCTAAGTATTTCTAACAATCAGTTAACAGCCATGCTGGATGTTGCTGTTTTTTTAACTCAGTAGATATTTTTTGTTGAACCAGATGTCTTGCGAGCTGGAGATGGGGGAGGACAATGGTTACATTAGATCTAGGACAAGCATGAGCCAGTGACATACCTAGAGAAAATATATTTTGATCAAAGACAGTTCTTTCTGATAAAAAAGTCAATGATACAGAAGTTTCTACCAAAGGCGGATGCAAGTGGCCCCAGGTCGCTTGGTGCACCTCCCACGTACGGTGCTTGTTGGTTTTACAAGTGGATTAGGCCAATAAAATACGGTAGGAGTGACACTAACTTCTAAGGCCAGGCCTTAAAACCATCTCAGCCCTGGGACTGCGCCTTCCTGGGAGCCAGCTGCTATGCCATCAGGAAGCTCAAGCAGCCAGGTGGAGTGGAACCAGGGCCCCCATCAAGTGAGTGGCATTTTAGACCTCACTAAATTCCTCCGCAGTGTGCTGGAACAAACAGTAGGACCTTAGGAGTCTCTTGGAGACGGTTTAATTCCTGACATTCTATGAAGGCTAGATGAGCTGTTTCTTCACCTTGTTCCCTACAGATGTACATGTCATGGAGACCTGGGGGTGGGGGGGAGAATGGTGGCACACGAGTCAGTTGCTGTCTCACCCAGTCTGTGGTGCTGGGCACACTCTGCCCCAGGTGACCCGTGCAGTTCTGCACAAGTCTGTTTCCAGGGAGGAATTTCTGCCTTGGTCCGCCTGGAAAGGTAAGACAATTCACACGTGATGGGTGGCCTGCTGGCATCAGGACAAGATACAGAGGAGCCTCCTTGTTCAGTGGGGTCTGTGCAGGTCCACCCTGACTCCCTTCTAGTGGGTATTCTCACAGTTGTGGGGGAAGGCTGCTATTCACCTCATTTCTCAGCCCCTCGCTTCCCAGCAAGCTTGCCTATCAAGCTGGGGTGCCCCATGTGTCCCGGCTGAGTGTCCCTCTGCCCTGGGCCAGCTCTTCTGGAGGGATGCGCTGAACCGGCTGACAGGAAATGGGAATCACAGCAACGTGTTCTGCCATGAGACTTCAGCACAAGCCAGATGTTGCCCCCAACTGCAGAGAGGGTGTGCCCACTGAGCAGGGGCAGGGGCAGTGGGGTGGCTACTCTGCCAAGAGATGGCCCAGGGTGAAGAGCACCCCTTACCCCCACTGGTGACTTCCAAGTCACTCCAGTGGCCGGACACAGATCCAGGGCCTGGGGGTGGTACAATCTAAGGCCACCAGTCTGCCCTCCTCCAGGGCCCCACAGCGCAGCTCTGGCAGCCCCTCGGTCTCCTCCGGGAGCCTGGGTGGGGGATGAGAAGGAGGTGAGAAGAAAGGGTACAGGTGGGAGGGGTGGCATGGGCAGGGAGGGGTGTGGTGCCAATTCTGCTGGGGACCCGAACAGGGATGGGGCCACAGGGTTCCCCCCCATGACTTGGGGGCCTACAGTTGGACAGCCCTCCAGGCCCTGGGAGATCACTCACAGCTGTGGTGGCAGGGGTGCCCCATCAGTCCAGCGCCAGCCCTGGGGGTCATGCTGCACCCCCACCCAGGAGCGCAGGGCCATGTGGTGTCTACTCAGGAAGCTCTGGGGGGAGAAGTGAGTTAGTGCTTTAGGGGGGGCCCACCCAGACCAGCCACTGCGTCAAAAACTGGGACAGAGAAATGCGGGTGCAGTGTGGTAATGCTGGGCCCACCCTGCTTGGTGTGACCAGCTTCAGAGGCCAGTTACTAGGTGATATTTGAAGCCTAAAACCAAATCCACTGACATCAAGTCAATTCTGACTCATATCAACGCTACATGGGATTTCCAAGGCTGTAAATCTTGATGGGAGCAGAAAGTCTCATCCCAGTGGCTGGTGGGTTTGAACTACCAACCTTGGAGTTAAGAGTCTGGTGCTTATACTATATCCACCAGGGCTCCTTAGGCGACATTTGGGCAGTCCAAATCGGTATGAACACAAAGGGCTACAGTAAGCAAAATCAAAACTAGCGTGATTAT